CACTCTGATATGTTTGGTTTTTTCCGGTGTTGCTATAGAAGTTTATCTGGGGATTTTGTTTTGGAAGAACTGTTTGCTGGTCTCACAACGCCTTGGCATGTTTTTTTCTGAAGGCCTTGGCATGTTGAGCTTAGCAAGAACGGGGACGAGTGTAGACTGAAATTGTCGACGATGATGAAAAAAAAACAAAAGTTCTGACCGGTTTAAAAGAGAAGTTAAACCACAACAACCGGTTACCTATTAAAAAAGAATTCAAAACTCTATTTTCAAGATGTTTCTCTGTAAACGAGAAAAACAAAAGCACAACCACCCAGGTTCAATCTGACCAATCAAATTACCCGACTGTTGCTAACATCATCTTACAAGTGTCAACATCTATACCCACCGTAGCATTACCTTATCTTGAATGAAAAATACACAAGTCCTGCCCTGGAAGGGGCGTGAAACACACTCACTAATTTTCTATATAAAGGGGCTAGTTTCCCAAACTAGGGTTCATCAGCAAGAAAAAGCCGCCACACATTTTCTTCCTTTTTCTCACTTCTCCTCTTAGTTTTTCTTCAGATCTAGCTATCTGTCTGCAACATTTTCTTCTTAAATCTTTTTGTAGTCACTCTTTTCTTTGTTTGGATCACTGTAAGAGAGAGATAGAGATGAGATCTATAATCACTAAGGCCACAATCATAGCATGAAAAATCAATCCCCTTGTTATTCTTCCTATCACAGGGAATCAAGGGATGCGAGACAGATTTGACTCATCCGCATCCCTGGTTCCTTGCGATAGCAAGAATAAGGAGGTTGAGTTTTCATGCTCCGTGTGCAAATCATTTATGGAGGATTTTTTTTTTTTTTCATGCCCTTGAGGAGGTATGATTTTTACAATATTTGGAGCTTCGTTTTACTCTTTGTCAATAATTTGTTATTGAAATGAGACCATGAATCCTTGTTTGGGCATGATCTATGCTTCTTTACTTTGAGGGTTGTCCTCTATAAATCATGTGCCAAACTGTCAGAGGAGATCACGTATCAGTTTCACCCTCATCACTCTCCAAGAATCTGTTGGTTCTGATTTTCGAAAATTATAATAATTTCGCAGTATTTTATTGATATGATAGTCTGAAAATAATATTTGGTTTATCTGCAGAGCCATCTTTGGAATAAGCTTGCATTTGTGAGTTTTTGGTTAATTAAGTAAACAACAGGGCTTCTTTGTTTTGTAACTTTGAAAACCGTAATAAAAATAGTTTTCAGATAATAATAATAAAATAGATCTTGGGTTTAGGAGCACCTAATAGGCAAATTGTATTTGAAATTGAGAAAATTTTGTTTAAAATTTTAATGAAAAATTTTTCCAATTCAAAATCCACACGAATTTGGTGCTCCCAGCAGCATATAGATGATTTGTGAGTTGGGTTCATTGTTTTGGGATCCTTCCACTTCAATGCTGAGATGTATAACTGGTCTACTTTTATTTGTCATTTTATTTGTTCCTCTTTCTTCGTTTGTTTGGAGGTTTTGTTTGATAAACACGTTTATTTCTGCACTCACTCTGATCGAGGCCTCTAAGAAAAAGAGTGTGCAAGATTAGAGTATTGAAAAATAACAAATACTCTAATTTATATAGTGCCTAGTGGTTCTGTGAATGTTTATGTCCGTTATGAGATCTTTATTAGACTTTGTTCGAGTTCTAGTTTACACAATTTGTTCAAATTTGCGATTGATACCGATATGATGACTGTATTCGCACATTGCAATAAAAGGGATTTTATATTTGAAATAATTCCATAAAAATAGAATTTTGTGATTCAAATGACTGTATTCGCACATTGCAATAAAAGGGATTTTATATTTGAGATAATTCCATAAAAATAAAGTTTTGTGATTCAAATGGCAAAAGAATGGAGTCAAAATAAAATTTTTTAAATTAATGAAATTTTATAAAAGTTGATATGGACAAGAAAATTTGTTATACATCAATTTTTTTTTTTTCAAAACATCCTGAGACACATTTATGATAACATCCTGAGAGACACATTTACCATAACTCTTCTTCTTACACAAACAACTAACAATTTTATTTGTCATCTCTCTCTTTCATCCACTTTACCAACAAATCCATTTTTAAAAAAACAACAAAACTTTGTTCTTTCACTCACATTTCCTCCTAAACATCTTTTCTTCCGAACTTGATTTATTCCCAAAATTCATATCAGACAAAAGAAAAATAAAGATTCAATCTTAGATTCAAAAATCCAACACGAAATATCATGAAAAAATCAACACAATTCGCTGTAATGGTCAATCCATGACTCGACAGTACAAAAAGTAGTTGCAAATGTTTGTGGATCCACAAGAAATTAATCTTCAAGTGGGTTGGTGAAATCCAAGTCACACCATAAAAATTGAAAAAATGTCGTTTTTAGGTGATTTTGACGATGTGTTTAGGGAGTTTAAGGAGGAGTTGACGGAGATGGAAAGTTTGAGAGGATTGGCATAGATTGTTTCTCTCTAGATGTGGGAGGGGTAGTAGTAGAATTTTGTAACAAATATAGAAGAGAATAAAAAGATGATGTATAATAAATTTTCATGTCTATGTTAGATTTTCATAAAATTTTATTCATTTAAAAAATTTAATTTTAACTTCATTCTTTTATTATTTGACCCTCAAAACTCCATTGTTAGAGAATTATCCTTTATATTTTGAAGTGGGAAACCATTGTCATAAAGTTTCTCATTATCTTGATGATGCTTTTCTAGGTACATTTCACATGCCGTCCACTAAGAGTAGTTGACTTGTATAGGAGTACAGTAACTAAGTAAGTTTACATGCACATTGGGCACCATTCCTTTCAATGATTTATAAACTCACCGAAACTTGAATTGATCCAAGTCATCAGCACAACTTCCCTACAGATCATGAGGGAAGCTGTGTATTTTTATGTAATACTGTATTGAACCGTATAACACACACAGAATGGTCACAAATCAGTAAAAAATTGGTTTAATTATGATACTTGAGAACAACCACACTGAACTTAAAGATTAAGGAAGAGGAGGTAAAAAAACAGAACTTGTATGGAATCTGAATTGTTTTCAACTCTTTGTTTAAAGTTAGTGATTTTAAAAATCGTGGTCCCCAATCATAATAATAATGTATGTCAGGTTGTAGCAAAGTTGTTCGTTTGCAATAAGTGATCAGTTCTTTTGGACTTTTGACTTCAATGCTAAGAAAAGTTGATCCACAGATGATCTGTGGTCCATACTTGATTGATTCTGAAATTTGATAAAAGTAATTGATACAATATTGAATTACAAGAGAGGGTTTTTGGATGGACAGCTAATGGGCCGTGGATCATGGATCTAATGTAATCGTCATTCTCTCCCATCCCAACTCGCACCTTTATTACAGGCGGATCACTTGCTTATGGACACCTTCCGAGCGGGTAAATTCAGACGGGCCATAGGCAATTCAACTCTAAAACTTAAGTTATTAGCTGACCCATAAATACTCATTTATTTTTTCATTCGATGTACGACAAAACCCCTCTAACATTAAAGGTATAGCATAGTCTCTTATTCATTAACTAGAATGTCGTTGCTTGTGCTTGAATAAGCTCCCTAACCTGCTTATGGGTTTCAAGTTCGGAACCAAAACCTTAATTTAGTATCAATAAATCAATTAATGTGCTCTCTTTAATTAGTGGTATTGGATTTCATTTGCTTTTTTTGTTTTAGAACACATGGATTGGTTCCATAATACATGCACCATTCAAGTCAGGAGTACAGCTCGAAAGTGATACTTACTTTCCGGATTCCTGCCAACGCCTCTATGCCCATGTGACTACTGGATTTCATTTTTAATTGTTCATTTAAAATTCAAATGCATCAATTGCTTTTCTTTTTCCACTACTGTTACTGCTAGTGTGGGGCAAGTCATGGTCAATGGTTAAAAAAGGTGAAGGTGCAGCAATTGCAGAGATGTGATTAGCTGGTGGAGTAGCAGAAGGTATACTAGTGTCAATATGGTAGATGGTGTGGGAGGTGGAGGGCATAGAGGTGGTTGATGGAGGAGTGGGCCTTATAGGTGATGAGGTAGATTTATCTTTTAGCGGCAAACTTCCAATCATAAGACGACTTACGGTGGTGGGAAGGTGAGGGTGGCAGGTGGTGGAGGTGGTGGTGGTGGTAGAGGTGGTCAAGAGGAGGCTTAGACAGCCTGGCACGTACGCCTGTTGTTAGCCTCTCCAATTAGCCCTCTGAGCCGAACAACATCATCAAGAAGAGAGTAGTACTTGGAATCACTTTTGTACTCAGCGAGTGTGATTCTCAGCCAGAAGATTTCATTGATCATCTGCTGGACACAGTTGGTGTTGATATCCTCAAGGACATTGTCTGGATCACAGAGGGTGTAATGGTTAGCACGATTAACAGTGAGAAATGGTGGGTTAGGCCTATTCCGCGATGCTTGGACCGGGGAGAGAATGGGGATGATTAAATTGACTGGTTTAACTGGTTTGGTTTGCTGTTTGGTTAGTGTCATGCCATTGTGAGGTGGAGGAGGACGAGGTGGTTTACTTCGCTGCAGAATACGTAATGGTGGCTGTTTGGCCGTCTGGTATATACGAGACAATGGAGAGAATGGAGAACTGGTTCTCACTCGTCAATGGGTTCTCTTTATCCTACCATAATCAGATTTAGAATGATCTGGAAGTCATCATTTCTTCTCAAACTACAATGATTGTTTGAAAAAATATGCTAAAGCAAGAGAAGTGTGTGTACTGTGTGTGAGAATCACAAGGACCTGCTCCCTTGTGCATTTGATTTACCAAAGGGGAGCTTATAAGATCATAGACCAAAGATTTTCTTTTGATGCAGACTAGGCTAAACAAGCCAATCATCAACCAAAAAGTAATTTCTGATTTTTGTTTATAGAACAACTATTGCTCAAGTAATTACCCCTAATCATGAATATTGTCCCATTTTTACATTTGCTTCCCAGAACTCTAAGATTGATTCAAAAAACTCATAATAACAATAATGACCAAGTTGGGGTGACATCTAAGTAGAATGGGTTTGATAAAAAAATAAAATAAATAAAACAATGAAAGAATTCCAAAGTAGATGAAAAGATGAATGCATCAAAAAATTGGCAAACAAATTCAAGCCATCAAATTTCTGCACAAGGCCTATTCCGAGCCCTAGCTCTACTGCCCCATGATCCATCTTTCTGCTCTTCGCGGTAAACGGATCTTCTTCTCAACTCGATAATCTGGCCTTCCCACCTCTTTCTTGAAACTTGATCATCTCTCTCAATCTTATAAGTCCGTCCACAACTGCTCAAACCCATCTCATAATCGTACTCTTCGCGTGAAACACGATCGATCAGAGTCTTGTAAGCTTCGTTCACTCGAACAAACATTCGGGTTGATTCATCCTTCATGGAAGGATGACAGAGATCAGGATGGTATTTCAGAGCCATAGTTCTATAAGCTCTCTTTATCTCATCAATCCCTGCATTGTTTGAACTCAGAGAAAGTACCTTGTACAAATTGGCACTCTCGTTTTCACTAGCCTTCTCAGACATTGCTCTGCATGAAATGGCATTGAACTTGGGAGACCCTCTTGAATTTTTGGGCAGTTGGTAGGAAAAAACTGGTTTACCATTGTGCAGACTTGAACCTATACAAATATCCATGACTATAGTCTATATCTCTTTACACAAGTTATGCAAGTTTGTATATGTATATATATATGTTGAGAGAAGGAAAATATATTAATTTTTTGCCGCTATTACTTATTTTATTGTAATGTTTTTTTAATACAGAAAGAATATGAAATTTGTGATATGTGACAAAGTAAATGGTGCTCTGGAAAGCAGCATGGTGGCGAAGAACACAAGGTAATTTTGAAGTAAAAACGCGTTCTTTCCATGGTAAATATCGATGGGAAGATTGGCCCATTGTCACATTGTGTGAAAATTTTTGGTGCCAACACTAACATGACATTATTTATTTATTTTTTTCGGATAACATATATATATATATTTATTTTTATTTTTTTGGTGTTTGACAAATATTTATGTCGAGGTTGTGACTGAATCTATCCAGTGAGATGTGTAAAATAAATTGCCCAATGTTGATGGATAAGTTATTTTTATTATGTTTAATTTTTTTTTATTTTTTTATTTTTAAATAGCCTACATTTATAATGTTTTACTGACCCATATGCCGCCTTGGGAGTTAGGACTAAGCTCTAGGCTTGTAGCATGGTCCAAGTAGTAAAATTCAAAAGATGGCGTAGCGAATGGTCCAAATGGTAAAATCCAAAAGATGGTGTTGAAACTAGAAAAAGATGGGCATGATTTGAAATGTAAAGAGAGAGAGAGAGAGAGTGCCTGTCAGTAAAATGAGAAAATTACTTTGCACGTGATGCACCATTTATGGATTGATTTTTTCAATTTTTATTTTATAAAGTAAGAAACAGAGCACTGATGTTGTGTTGGTATAGTAATAAGAGGGAAAATAAAAGAAAATATATATTAGATATGAGTTTGGTTTATTTATGAAGAAAATGAAATGAGAAAACAATATTAACTTCATATTTTATTCAGAAAATATAATTAAGCACGAAGGAAAGAAATAATTGGTTTTTTTTTTTTTTTTTTTTTTCTCAAAAATTTAAACAATTTATTTAAATAACTGATTTATTTTGTGTGGAATTCACTTGGTATAAAAAAATAAAAAAGTACTTTATCACCTTTCCAAATAAAAGATGGTTGATGCATATATTCAAAAATAAAAAATTTGACATATCCAATGAGGGATAAGGATTTTCTCCAATGCTGAAGAGGTCCAGTACATAATTCAGTGGTTGAGATTGAATTGATAGATATAATCCATTAGTGATAATGTAATCTCAACCACTGAATTCTGTACTGGATCTCTCCGGCGCTAGAAAGGATCCTAGTTCATCTAATGAGATAAAAATATTGTAAGAAATCAAGCGTTCTTCTATGATAAGTTCACCTAAGAATGCAAGACTGATACACACAAAGAAGATTATGGAACGAATTATTCATTACAAGTTGAGAGAGATAACACTAACTTAATTAGTGATAAAACTTATCTCAATGAGAAAGCTTATTGTATGTAACAATATATATTGTATTATGTTTTACATGATTTTAGGAAACCAAATCTAAGATTTTAGGGGTTGGTTTCCTCTCCAGATCATTATAAAATGTTCATCTCACAACCAATTAAGGTACGGTTGGAGAAATTCAAAACTCACTAAACTACATTTTTCTTCATGGTATCAGAGCTTTAACTGGGAGCTTCTGTGATTTTTTCTTTCTTTCTTCCTTGTTAAAGTTGTGGATCATTTTTGTTTCTTCTCAATACTTCAACCCACAAGTCTTAAACATGTCACGTTTAACCATAAGCTACCTTTACCCATCCTCTCTCAATGCAACCAACTTTGTCTCCATCAAGTTGACTCAAACAAATTTTCTCATATAGAAAACCCAAATAATGGGACTAATTGAGTCTCAAGACATGCTTGGTTTTATTGATGGAAATCTTTATATGCCAAAGATGTACTTGACATCAACTAGTATCGACGAAGACTCCAGCAGGAGCGGTACTATAAGTAATCCAAAATATGTTGCATGGAGAAAGTCGGATCGGCTACTCCGTGGTTGGATTACTAGAACATTGACGGAGAAAGTTTTGGTTGCGGTTATCGGACTTGACACCACGGGAGAAATTTGGTCTGCTCTAACTCATTCATTTGCACAAGACTCACAAGTGCGTGAATTCTGCCTGCAACAACAACTTCTAATGCATCGTAAGGGATCTTTAACTCTCTCTGATTATATTCGTGGTTTCAAAAGTCTCCATGATGATCTTGCAACAATAGGCAAGGCAGTTAATGATAGAACCAAAATGTTCACTCTCCTCACTCGATTGGGGCCTGGCTACGAATCATTTGTTATAATTATGTTAAAGCCACCCACTTCCACATGCAATGAAATTGTTCAATTGCTTCAAAGTCATGAAACGATTAAAAATCTTCACTCCAATGAGTCGTATGGAAATGTTTATCACAATGTCAATGAGTTAAAGAGGATATAATAATCCATCAAGTGATAAAAACACTAACAAATCCGAGAGACCAAATCAGACACGATCAGACAAGGAGAAAGGGATAGTTTGCCAAATTTGCAACAAGCCTAATCACTCTGCACTCCGATGTTGGCACCGATTTAATCAAACATATCAGTAGGATGATATTCCAAAAGCCTTGGCAGCTATGCCAATTGCAGAAAATCAAGATCAAGCTTGGTTTCTAGACACAGGTGCAAGTGCACATATGATAGATGATATTGGTAAGCTTCAAACTTCCACTCCTTATTATGGGTCTGAAAAAATAATGGTTGGTAATGGAGAAATATTAAATATTTCACATGCCGGATCCACTATAATTAACACAAACAAATTAAAGTTGAACTTAGATTAAGTTCTTGTTGTTCCAGAGATTAAGAAGAATTTAATTTCTGTGAGTTAACTAACTTCTGATTATCCTTATGTCTTTGAATTTACATCGGATGATTTTGTGATAAAGGACGGGGAGACAAAACAAACCATAGCAACAGGGAAGAGGACTGGCGATCTTTATGCTTTGGAACTAAATAAAGGAGTGGCATTATTTTTTAGTCGGTTTAGAGTAGCTAATGGAGAAACATGGTTCCAACGTCTGGGTCATCCTCACATGGGTGTGGTGGATTATATGCAGAAAAATAAACTGATAGTGAGTAGTTCAATAAATAAGTTTGTTTGCTCAAGTTGCCAAATGGGAAAATCTTATCGTTTCAAGCTATTACCTCACAGGATGACACGTCTTCTCCATCTATTGCACCAGTTCAAGAGGTATTGGCTTCTTCCGTATCTGACAGTTCTTCTCTCCCAAGAGAACCCGTACAAGAGTTCGTGGCTCCACCACCATCTCCTTCCTCTTCTACCCAAATTGGTCATTATATGGTTACATGACATAAGGATGGGATTACGAAGCCTAATCCTAAATATCTTCTGACTATCTGTGATGTTCCGACTCCACCAAAGACGACCAAATCTGCTTTTAAACACCCAGGATGGTTTGCTACTATGAAAGAAGAAATCGCTGGGTTGTATACAAATAACACATGGAGATTAGTTCCCTGTGCACCTCTCATGAATGTAGTTAGGTGTAAGTGGGTCTTTAAAACTAAACTACATGCTGATGGTTCTCTGGAATGCTTAAAGGTTTGATTAGTAGCCAAAGGTTTTACTCAGAATCCAGGTCTGGATTTTTGGAAACATTTTCTCCAGTTGTCAAGCCGACTACCATCTGAATAGTGTTGACAGTTGCACTCATTCATTATTGGGATATACGCCAATTAGATGTAAAAAATGCATTTTTACATGGCCATCTTCAGGAAACAGTTTTTATGGAACAGCCTCCTGGCTTCAAAGATTCAAAACAACCTAATCACGTGTGTCATCTAAAACGTGCCCTGTATAGCTTGAAACAAGCCCCCAAAGATTGGTTTGATCGTTTTACAAGCTTCCTTATCAATCTAGGATTCTTTTGCAGTGTTGCCAATCATTCCCTCTTCATCCATCAAGACTCTTATGGTACAACTTTACTTCTTTTTATACGTTGATGATATTATCCTGACTGGTAGCAATCCCACTATTTTACAGTCACTTATACGTCGTTTATGTACGGCATTTGCTATAAAAATATGTTTGAAAGATGTGGGATATTTGCATTATTTTTTGGGAGATGCAGTTGAACAATTTAATGGAGGTTTATTTCTCAACCAAACCAAGTATGCATATGATTTGCTGGAAAGAGCAAGGATGAAAGATTGTAAACCTATGTCTACCCCAATGGCTACCAAGATAAAAGCACCATCAAACGATGAAGATTATGATGATTCGTTCTTTTATCGCAGCATTGTCGGTCGTCTTCAATATTTAACATTCACACGTCTGGATATTACCTATAATGTGAAGTACATCTCTCAATTTCTACAAAAGCCAACGTTTTCTCACTTTTAATTGGTGAAGTGTATTCTACGCTATGTTCATGGCACTATTTCTTATGGTATACGACTTTTGGCAAAGAACCCGCTGGTACTTTATGGTTTTCCGAATGCCGACTGGGCAAGCTGCCCTCTTACTCGTCGTTCTGTAACGAGGTATTGTACGTATCTTAGTGGCAATTGTCTCTCTTGGTGTGCTAAGAAGCAATCAACAATGTCTAGATCAAGCATCAAGGCTGAATATAGAGCTCTTGCATCGGCTACGGCTGAACTTAACATGGATTTCATTCATTCTCCGTGATATTGGGTTATATCTCTTTACTCCCCTAAAGCTTTTTTGTGATAATCTCTCTGCCTTATGCATGACTATTAATCCTGTTTTTCATCCTCGAACAAAACAAGTTGAGCTTGATTATCACTTTGTAAGGGAAAAGGTTGCACTCGGCTGTCTAGCAACACAGTTCATTCCTTCAACTCTCCAAGTGGCTGACATACTCACTAAACCGCTACCACGACAATTTTTTCTTAATTTCAGACCCAAACTTGGCCTTTGGCATTCTCCAACGTCCAGTTTGAGGGGATGTGTAAGAAATCACACGCTAATCTGTGAT